CTCTCTCTCTCTCTCTCTCTCTCTCTCTCTCTCTCTCTCTCTCACACACACAATTGCGTGCTGGCCCAGGAAAGGTCGCGGGGTTACGCCACCCGGGTCAGCACTTGGCCGTCCGTCTTCCTTCGCCGCAGCAGCACATCCTCGCGCGGCCTGAACTTCCAGATCGCCGTCATCAGCGAGTCGTTATCCGCGGTTACGTCAGCCTGGCGCCGGGGCGGTCGGCTCTGGCTAGATGCCAAGATGGATGGATGGATGACTGACTGGCCCCGCGCCGCGCGCGCTGCTCCAGCCGGAACTGCTTGTCCTGGCGAGTCTTCGCGACTCTACACGCGCGTCTCGCGGAGGCCGCCACTTTGCCAAAACTAGTGCGCTGTGGAAAAAAAAGGGTAAAATTATAATGGTCAGGCCGGCTTTGCGAAGTGCTTTTGCGAACCCCGACATCACGATCCCCCTGCTCTGCTCTTAATTCCTCTCGAGACTCATCGGAGCTGGATTCCTCTCTAAGCGCCCCCCCCCCCTACAAAACGCACGCTTTACTGTGCATTTTCTCCCCGCCACCCTCCCCTTTCCTTCCCCTCTCACTTGATGCGGTTTTTCTACCCAATCAGGCTCTCCACTCCACAACCGGTGATTAAGCTTCCTGTTTTCTCCGCCACGCCCGGCCGGAGGGCGCTGGCTATGCCACCGCTCCTCTATGGTCGGGGTGCAAAGTTACACGCTCCCGGTAGCAGCGCGGCGGCACAGGTATGCCATGCTACTTATGGAGGTAACCCCCCTCCCCTACCCTCCCTGTCACTCCTTTGGTGGTTCGTTCGAACGTCCCGCGTAGAGTAATGACGAAGTGAACCGTACGAGTAATTGGCTCCGAGCTATTAGCCTCGACACCGAGGGGGTTTTCACTCGAGATTTCCGTGCACACAGTATTTCGTAATACGTGTATTTCGTCGGTATTTCTCAGAAAAAGTTCACCGTTTTGGAGCATATTTAGGCGTATTTCGGTGTATTTCACGTGAAATACCCGTGAAATACCTCATTTGGTGTACACGGTATTTCAGAAGTGAAAACCCCCTCGCTCGACACCTCAGTGTATGCTGCTCCCGCAGTGCCCCGCGAGGCGGCTCTGAGCGCGACCTGTGTGTCCGTGCGACTGAGAGTCACACGCGTTTGTCCTGCTGCTCCTACAAGGACGAGTACAGTAAGTAGTGTGTGTTTCTCACGCCATTGCGAAGCGAACGTCGCCGTAGCAGAGTTTTCGCCCACGCGAAACGCTAAGGCTAAAAGCATAGCAGCCGGAAAAAAATGAAAGGGAAAAAAATATGGGTTGGCCAAGGATTTGGCTTTGACCCGTTTCGCACACGGCTGTCTTTTGCACGATGATGACTTTGTTTCCTATTTCAACACAACAGTAGCTATTTCGTTAAATGAGTACTTTTCTTGCATGTCAGTGCAACAATCGAAGAGATCCATAAACTTGATTCCAATCGGCGTTGGAAACCTCGCGCGTATTTGGTCCATATCCGGTCTCGCTCGAGCCGGTCTGGCATTGACCCACTGATTTACAAGTCGGCTGGTGCTTGCTGCTTGCATGGCGTTCCGGTGAGCTAAAAGCCAGTCCTCTCTCCTACTCTCCCTCTCTCCCCATCTCTCTGCTTTGGCCGTACTTGCATATATCCCTCGTTGCACTTACCGCTTTTATGCAATCCTCCGCTCTCCCGTAGGCGGCCTGCAGCTGCATCATTCCGACCTCATCATCCTCATCAACATATCCAAGCTGCACCGCACCACCTGCCTAGACGGACAGGGCGGCCGGATTGAGGGATTTTGAAACAACAGAAACCTCCCGGGGTGGAGGAAGTCGACTTTGCATTTATCTGCAATAAAATGTTCTCCGACGCGAGAAACTCATATGCGGCCCCCGACCCGCCCCC